CAAGGAGGAGTGCCAGGTGGACCAGGAACAAAGGAAAGCCACCTGGGACCAGTTGGCGAGCCAGCACAATGCCATGTGCTCCTCCCTCACCTCTGAAATGGAGCGCATGGCATTGTGCATGGAGCGGGCCACCAGCCACCTCTTAACCCATGGCTTCCCCTCCTAGCTGCCCCCCACCAGAGGCAACGGGACCCCAGAACATGGGGCGGTGGGACCTCTCGGACAGCTGAAGCATCCCAACCACTTGGAGGCAGGCACCAGTTCCAGCCCCATCCCTGAGCAACCCTTCCCCCCTCCTCCATTCCAGGTTCTTTCCCCAGTCCCTCCCTTCTTTTATGTCCTTCCCCAATAAACATGTCCTTATTATTTGCTCTGCAGCGGAGCAAGGGAAGGTGAGAAGTGAGGGCAGGGGAAGAGAAGGGTGGGGGAGGATAGACACACAAGAGGGCCTCCCTGATGTGCTCTCCTGATGGTACTGGTATACAGCTGCTCAAATTCCCTGGCCAGACATTCAGCCTCAGCCCCCACACCTGGCAGAAGTCTTCCCCTAGATCTCATATAAGTTGTGGAGTACACAGCAGACTGCTACCACAAAGGGAAGTTGCATTTTCTGAGGTTCAGACAGGTGAGGAGACTCCTGAATGTCCCCTTTAAATGGCCGAATGCACATTCCACCACCATACGGCACCTGCTCAGCCTGGTGTTGAACTGCTCCTTGCTGGGCTCCAGGATGCCTGTGTAGGGCTTTATCAGCCACGGGAGCAAGAGGTAGGCTGCATCGCTCAGGATGACAAAGGGCATGTCCACTTCCCTGACTCTGATGGTGCGGTCGGGGAAACAAGTACTGGCATGCATCTTTCAGAACAGGCAGGAGTTCCAGAAGATGTGGGCATCGTGCACTTTTCCCAACCACCTGACGTTGATGTCGGTGAAGCAACCCTTGTGATTCACAAGGGCCTGGAGCACCAAGGAGAAGTACCCCTTGAGGGTCATGCACAGCAGCAAGGACATGGGTAAGCAAGGCCTATGGTCCAAGCTGGAGTTCATCCTGTAGGTCGTAGTCCTCGTCCTTCTGGAGCAACATGTGGGCAGTCTGAAAGTACTGTGCCATGCGGTGCAGCATGAGGCCTGTGAGCATTGCACTACTTTGCTCACGGGGTGCTCTTCCAGGAGGGACTGCTTGGTAGAGATGGAGTTCACCTTTCCAGGAGCGGGAAGGCCTTGTTTGGACACAGACTGGCTAACCTTGTGAGGAGGGCTTTAAACTAGGTTCGACGGAGACAGGTGAGCAAAGCCCACAGGTAAGTGCTGAATGTGCGGGACTGGGAGATGGGTTGGAAATGGGGGGGACTACGGCCTATAATGGCAAGGAGAAAGGAGGGTCAGGGCACAACAGGGAGGCAAGATCAAATCAGTATCTTAGATGCCTATATACAAATGCGAGAAGTATGGGTAATAAGCAGGAAGAACTGGAATTGCTAACCAATAAATACAACTATGATATCATTGGTATTACAGAAACCTGGTGGGATGGGACACATGATTGGAATGTTGGTATGGAAGGGTACGGCTTGCTCAGGAAGGACAGACAGGGAAAAAAGGGAGGAGGGGTTGCCTTGTATATTAAAAATGTACACACTTGGACTGAAGTGGAGATGAACGTAGGAGATAGCTGTGTAGAGAGTCTCTGGGTTAAGCTAAAAGGGGTAAAAAACGAGGGTGATATCATGCTAGGAGTCTACTACAGGCCACCTAGCCAGGTGGAAGAGGTGGATGAGGCCTTTTTTAAACAATTAACAAAACTATCCAAAGCCCAAGATTTGGTGGTGATGGGGGACTTCAACTATCCAGACATATGTTGGGAAACTAACACAGCGAGGCACAGGCTATCCAATAAGTTTCTGGACTGCATTGGAGACAACTTTCTGTTTCAGAAGGTTGAAAAAGCTACCAGAGGAGAAGCTGTTCTGGATTTGGTTTTAACAAATAGGGAGGAACTAGTTGAGAACTTGAAAGTGGAAGACAGTATAGGGGACAGTGATCACGAAATAATAGAGTTCATGATCATAAGGAAAGGTAGAAGGGAGACCACCACAATTGAGGTTATGGATTTCAGGAAGGCAGATTTTGATAAGCTCAGAGAACTTGTAGGTAAGGTCCCATGGGAAGCAAGACTGAAGGGAAAAACAACTGAGGAGAGTTGGAAGTATTTCAAAGGGACGTTGTTAAGGGCCCAAAAGCAAACAATTCCGCTGTGTAGGAAAGATAGAAAATATGGCAAAAGACCAGCTTGGCTTAACAAGGAGATCTTGCACGATCTCAAAATAAAAAAGGAGTCATATAAAAAATGGAAACTAGGACAACTAACAAAGGATGAATATAGGCAAGCAACACGGGAATGCAGGGGCAAGATTAGAAAGGCAAAGGCACAAAATGAGATCAAACTAGCTACAGGCATAAAGGGAAACAAGAAGACCTTTTATAAATACATTAAAAGCAAGAGGAAGACCAAGGACAGGGTAGGCCCACTGCTTAGCGAGGAGGGAGAAGCAGTAACAGGGAACTTGGAAATGGCGGAGATGCTCAATGACTTCTTTGTTTCGGTCTTCACCGAGAAGTCTGGAGGTGTGCCTAACGTAGTGAATACAAGCAGAGAGAGGGTAAGTTTAGAAGATAGGATACACAAAGAACAAGTTAAAAATCACTTAGGAAAGTTAGATGTCAGCAAGTCACCAGGTCCTGATGAAATGCATCCCAGGATACTCAAGGAGCTGATAGAGGAGGTATCTGAGCCTTTAGCTATGATCTTTGAAAAATCATGGCAGACAGGGGAGATTCCAGAAGACTGGAAAAGGGCAAATATTGTGCCCATCTATAAAAAGGGGAATAAGAACAACCCAGGAAACTACAGACCGGTCAGTTTAACGTCTGTCCCAGGGAAGATAATGGAGCAGGTAATTAAGGAAATCATATGCAAACACTTGGAAGGTAATAAAGTGATAGGGAATAGCCAGCATGGGTTTGTGAAGAACAAGTCATGCCAAACTAATCTGATAGCTTTCTTTGATAAGATAACGAGCCTTGTGGATAAGGGAGAAGCGGTGGATGTCATATACCTAGACTTTAGTAAGGCATTTGATACGGTCTCGCATGATATTCTTATTGATAAACTAGGCAAATATAACTTAGATAGGGCCACGATAAGGTGGGTGCATAATTGGCTGGATAACCGTAGTCAGAGAGTTGTTGTTAACGGTTCTAAATCCTGCTGGAAAGGGATAACAAGTGGAGTTCCTCAAGGGTCTGTTTTGGGACCCATACTGTTCAACATCTTCATCAATGATGTAGATATTGGGATAGAGAGTACGCTTATTAAGTTTGCAGATGATACCAAACTGGGTGGGGTTGCAACTTCTTTGGAGGATAGGGACATAATTCAAAATGACCTTAGCAAGTTAGAGAAATGGTCAGAGGTAAACAGGATGAGGTTTAATAAAGAGAAATGCAAAGTGCTCCACTTAGGAAGGAACAATCAGTTCCATACATACAAGATGGGAAGCGACTGTCTAGGAAGGAGCATGGCAGAAAGGGATCTAGGGGTCATAGTGGACCACAAGTTGAATATGAGTCAACAGTGTGATGCTGTTGCAAAAAAAGCAAATATGATTCTAGGTTGTATCAACAGGTGTGTTGTAAGCAAAACTCGTGAAGTCATTCTGCCGCTCTACTCTGCACTAGTTAGGCCTCAGCTGGAGTACTGTGTCCAGTTCTGGGCGCCACATTTCAAGAAAGATGTGGAGAAATTGGAAAGGGTACAGAGAAGAGCAACAAGAATGATTAAAGGTTTAGAGAACATGACCTATGAAGCCAGGCTTCATGAACTGGGCTTGTTTAGTTTGGAAAAAAGAAGATTAAGGGGGGACATGATAGCGGTTTTCAAATATCTAAAAGGGTGTCACAAGGAGGAAGGAGAAAATTTGTTCCTCTTGGTTTCTGAGGACAGGACAAGGAGTAATGGGCTTAAAGTGCAGCAGGGGAGGTTTAGATTGGACATTAGGAAAAAATTCCTAACTGTCAGGGTGGTCAAATATTGGAATAAATTGCCAAGGGAGGTGGTGGAATCTCCCTCTCTGGAGATATTTAAGAACAGGTTAGATAGACATCTGTCAGGGATGGTGTAGACAGAGCTTGATCCTGCCTTGAGGGCGGGGGGCTGGACTCGATGACCTCTTGAGGTCCCTTCCAGTCCTATTATTCTATGATTCTATGAAAAGCATGAGTGGCGTGGAGAGGGTGCATGGCTCCATGCTGTGAGTGCTATGGTGTCCACAAAGGCTATCAGAGCACAAGGAGGCACATGCCCATGGTGTCTCTTTTGTGTCTGCAAGTGGGGAGGCAGCGGAGGAGTGGTGTGTGAGACACAGCCATAGAGATCAACCCCTGAAAGCACGAATCACAGCTTGCCTGACCAAGCAGCCAGAGGGAGTATCCGCCCTCCTGATGCCCTCCCCAGAGTGCTTCCAGGGGCTCTAAGTCAGAGGCAGGCTCCAAACAGTATGGATGCACTATTTCAAAATAATTCTTACTAATTTCAATGCTTCACCATAGTGGGGATGTGCTATTTCAATTTTGTTAAAGTGGGAGTTTTATGTCTTTGATTTTACTTATTTCAAAATAATTTCCTACTGTAAACATGCCCTACTTCATGAGGAACCACCCAAAAAGTTTAAAAGGAATTCTTACAAGAAAAATATTACTGTTGGTTAAGCTGCATTCTATTAATACCTGTCATATTAAATTCCATATGCAATGCTTTCAGGAAAGACATGAAAGCATGTTGGTACCTATCTTCTACAATGTGTGCAGATAGAAAAAAAATTAGAATTGCTAGCAGAAAGTGATTATTTTTAAACCAGTCTGTTTTTAACTGCAACATTCTTATCCACAGTGTAACCTGAAAGTAAGGGATGATGGAAGAAATATTGTAAATCACATCTTACCTTCATCTATTGAGGCTTCACTACTGTACCCATCATACTCTGCTGACAGAGGACTATATTTTTGTCTAGTTTCCCAAATGTAATTTTTTTGCTGTCTGCTATCTATCGTTGATGGCCTGGAACTTTGTGTTCTGGACAAGGCCTCATGGTATTTACCCAGTGCCTCATCTTCACTTTCAGAGGAGGAACCATGCTGATCTTTATTCATATATGAGTTGTCTGTTTGAAGAAAAAGAAGAGTAAATGACAGTTCAAGAAAAAGTGAAACAAAATCAATTACAATTTAAATATTTTTATTGTTGGCTTAAATTTATAGTGAAAAACAATATATCTAACCAACTTTTGTAATAATTTTACCCAGACTAAAACTGAACTGTACTAGCTCAGAAATTATTATTTTTGTACAAATAGAGAAAAATTAAAAATTCTTAGATATAATTTTATATTATATTTAATATATATAATATTTATA